TCTTCACACAATATCTCAGTAATCCTGTGGTAGAAAAACATCATTAAGTTGTGTCCTGCTCTAAATCACATGATCAAATCAATTGATTAACCATCTGCTGTGAAAAAAAGAAATGTAATTGTTAGCGCTGCGCAGGTGTATACACTCTTTTTCACAGTAATCTCTGTGAGCAACACAAGGTAGTGAATAACACACCCATGGTAAATTCACAGACACAGAAAATGTTAAACTAAAAAGGTTAAATTTGCATGTAGTTTTTGTATTATTTTCTAATAAATGTAGAATTGAAATAATTTCCAAATCCCTAAGTCAGTTTTTGATTACATTTTAGATGTTGTCACAATTTGTTAAGGTTATAGAGCTCATGAGTTGCTCAGCCTGTATATGCTGTGGTTATAAGCAGTTTTTCTTGTTGTGGTTTGGTGTACAATCACAGTTGATGTAGCGGACATGCACACATAGTCTTACCTTCCTCTGATTACTTCTATGGAACCCCACAAATCCTCCTCCGAAGCTCAAATCAATTACGTTACATTCGACTTTAATCTCATGTTGCTTGTTGGCACTAGTTTCCAGAACACAGTGGAAATGTATAAAAAATAAAACAAATCCTAAACTGTGCTGATTTTAAAAAAGCATTTTTATTTCTATAAAATGAAACTTAAAATGTTGAAAATCTGAGAAATGGAGAACACTTTACTCTGAAACCTCTTTGATAAAGTACTTCAGCTGCGGTTCCTCTGTCGTTTTCTTTTCCATGACTTTGATTATAAGAAGGCACTGCACAGAAAGCAACTTTGTATCCAGTGTGAGGACATAATTGGTTTTCTCTTTATCGTAATGTTAAAAAAAACAAGTCGTGGACAAATACATTTTTGCATCTGTATTCCTTACACAATGTAATTTTTTTTTTTTGAGAAGAGTATTTGAATGAATCATACAAATGGGATTTACCAAAGTTTGTGGCAGACTTGCATTTATTATACTTTAATTTGCATCTAAGGTGGTTTTGATAGTTGCTGCTCAGACTGTTAATTTACTTTGAATGACAGGAGATGTTATTAGAATGAGCCCATAATACGTATGGGTTACAGTCCTGTGGCTCCGTTCAGAACAATTAGAGGCTAGTCTCACACAATCAGTCCTGTGAAAAACTTCACAAAGCTTCACAAAAATGCAGTAGAAGTGTGTGTGCAAAAAAACGAGTACATCCCACAATTCGACTACTTGTAGAACTTTAAGAGTAATAACTTGAGATGATTGTTTGAGTCCACAGGGTTTCTCTCGACTTGAGGTCTGATCTTTGACTGGGCTGTTGCAACACCTCGATTCTTTTCTTTTGCAGCCATTCTGTTAGAGGTTTGCTGCTGTGTTTGGGATCATTGTCGAGATCAATTTCCTGATTTTGCCCAAGCTTTAGCTGTCAGACCTATTATACAGTAAGTAGTAGTGCTTGTTATTGACAAAAACATAATATAAGAATTAGGGCTGCCACAAACGATTATTTTGATAGTCGACTAGTCACAAACGATTATTTTGATAGTCGACTAGTCACCGATTATTTTTGCGATTAGTCGACTAATCAGATCATCATCCATTGGACGTACAGCGTACAGCTTATTGCACCAGCAGCATCTGCTCTTATATAACTATCATTAGCTTACAGCTTTAAGTGTTTAAGGTATGTGCTAAGTAAAAATAAAGACAAGATGATAGTTTATTAAATTTTAATGAAATTTGCAGATTGTTTCGGTGAAGTTTAATAAACTCCTTGCTATCTAAAATATAAAAGGACACCGGAGTATATTCTCGAGCATCTCACATTTCTGATAATCAGCTGTCTGCTTGACGTTTATTCAGCTGTGTAAAAACTATAACTTTAATCTCAGCCAAACCGATTTACTCAGGAACAAATAAAATACTGAAAAAAGCCAAATAATAAACATTTTTAAGTTATCTAAGTGACTTATATATCATGTTTAGCCTGAGAAGTGAAAGACGGCGGTGGGTTTGAAAACGATTTGCCGGGAGTCCGGTGTTCTCACAGGCTCTAGTGAGCCTAGCCCCCGGCTAGCTATCGAGCTAGTGGGTAACAGACGTCTCCAAAAACGTCGGAGCGCTTTTGAAAATATGTGGTGTCTTGATAAACTGAGTTTATTTTGTGACCCAGAAAGAATAATAAGAGTAATATTAAGACGAACTAGCTGCCGCCATTGTTGGAAACTGAGCAGGGCCGCGCTATGAATTCTGGGACAGAGCTATTTCTTCTTCGGGGTTTAACGGCAGCTGGCATCCTTGTACATGCAGTGCTGCCATCTTCTGTTTCAGTCCGTTATTACACTCTTAAATCCTGCTACTTATTCTTGCGTCTTTTGTGATCTTATAAAGCTTCAAACAACGCGTCGACTATTAAATTAGTCGTCGACGATTTTGATAGTCGACGATTTTTCGTGACTAGTCGACTAATTGTGGCAGCACTAATAAGAATAGAGAAAAATCAAGAGAATTCTGATTTAAAATAAATTTAAAAGCATAGATGTTAATGATTGCTGTATGTGTGATGATGTCTGTGCAAAGTTTCATATTGGCCCAGCTGCTAAGGAGGAGAGAGCGTACATGCCAAAGTACAAATGATTATAGTAAAATGCATAACTTTGTAATGAATAACCCCCAACACTGCTTTGGCCTTAAACTGGCTCTAAATCTGTCCAAATTACGATTGTACTTTGCATATCCAAAGCTAAGTGGTTGCTAGAACAGCTATTATAATTAAAAATGGCAACATTTAAACAGCCTTTCACTGATTATCTGGTGGAACGATTTATGAAGGACATAAAAGGCTTCGAGTGATGCTCACAGTCATATTGTTTAAGGTTTTTTGTGGCTGTCCCTTTCTATTCCTGGCCTGTCTCTCTGTGTGACCCCAGCTCAAGTTAAAACGTGGCGTGTGTTTGTTTACCTAAAGGTAGGTGTGAGTGTGATCATATGTGTGAGAGTGGTTGACTTTGGGTTGATGTGCGTCAGCAAGTGTCATCAGGTTCACAAAAGTGAAAAGAAAACACAACAAAAGGATTGTTGGTCACCGCTCTTCTGTACTTCAGCCCACACACTGCTACGTGAAATATCTTTGCTGTGTGTATTTGTATATAGTCATGCCATATTCAATATTTCATTGCTTTAAGGTTTATTTCAGCAGAAATATTGTGCCTACATGTATTTATTTTCAACTTATTCTATGTAAGTGTTTCTAATAGGTGCTTTATAGTCAGGTCCTATATCAGTAGTTCCAGTGCTGAGAATCATCTTTGTGGTTTTATGAATTCACTTCAAACAAAACTATTTGCTGACTAATCAGAAATGCTGCCAGAGGTTCTTTTTGTTAAAGGATTAGAATAAAAGCAATGTTTGTTTCACAGTTTAAATCCGATGTTTGTTTTTAAGGTGCACCATAGCTTTTAGAAAATTCTGGAAATGTTGATTGGAAAGGCGTCGTGACACTTTTCAAAGTCGTCCTTTCTCTTTTACTGACTTTTGCTGACTTCTGCTCACACTCGTGGCTCTGAGCACTGGGCTGCCGGGGTGTCCTTGCAGTGAAGTATGTAAAGTAAGTCAGTGGAGTGTAGTTTTTTGCTTCTAGGTTGATTGGAGTGGTAATAACATTGTTTTTGTTTTTCTTCAGGTAATCAGTTTCCTCACATTTTTTCCTTCTGTGTTTTGCGGATGTTTTCTCTAAAGTGGTTTTTACCTACCTAACTTCTAGTTCACTCGGAGCTCGTGTTGACTTTCCTTTTCCCCTTTCTTTTTCTTGTTGCTCATAAACTTTCTTCTGCTTAGAAGGGCATATCACTGGCTGCAGTGCCTTACAGCTTTAAGAAAAAGTAAAGCAAAGTAAAAAATAATCTCTTACTTTAGACTGGCTTTAATAAAAGCTGGAAGGGATTTAGTTTTAGCTCACCATGATTTGGAAGAGAAAACTTTTGGTTTTAATATCATGAACATTGTACAACGAGAAGGCTTTGTGTTTACTTTTTTCCACAAAGCATCCAGCGCACACCTTCAGAACTTTGAAAGACAAGCTAGTTGTTTGTCTTTTAAAATAATCATTACTCAGAACTTCATGTAATTATGTAAATTAACAAAATATTTTCTTATGGCATGAATGAAGGTAAACGAAACCTCTGAAAGCATTCAGTTAAATCAAAGTAATCCTTTAAAATGATCAGTATTGCAAGTTGTATTTAGCAAGTGAATGAAATGAAGGTTATTTAGTCTTTTTGGTCTCTCACAATTTCTTCTGATGTACTTGTTGTCATTTCTAACTGTCTTTTTTTTTCTTTACTGTTTACTGTAGCTATTGTGGGTGAAGATCACCCTTCAACCTTTTTACTGTGCATAATCCCAACATGAGACGGCACTGAAAAGCATCTTTTTGCTTTTGAGGAAATTACTAGACGTGTAAAAATGTGTTTATGTAACAGGTTATGTATAAAAATGTTTGCTGTTTTTGACATTCTGGTCAAGGAAACAGTTTATCTTTAATAACGTGTTTTCAGATAGGGGAAATACACTTACACCAAAACAAAGAAAGGCTGGCCTTTAAGTGTTTTATTCAACAAACGTGTTGTTAGATGTCAGCTATTGAGGAATTCTCACGTCCTCCGCTAGTTTTGAGCACTTCAGCAGAAAATGACTTCTTATAAAAGTTTTGCATTGTGTTATAGATCTTATACATGTTGTGTTGAGCTGTTCATCAGTCTCTGACATCTGCTTGCCAAAAAGTTTGCCAGACTTATAAGATGTTTTTGTGCTGTCGTTTTGTACGTCATCTTTCATTCGCTTTTATAGAATTTAATAAATAAACAAAAATGTTTTTCTTCATTATCAGAAGTCAAAAAGCAGAATGTTTTTAAAAACATAGTATAAATATGTTCATAGTATGCATATAATGTAGTAAGTGTAGTGTTTTTGTTAATGTTCTTTAATTTGTTTTTGTCTTCTAGGATGTGGTCTGGGGATTGAACTCCTTGTTTACTGTAAGTTTTTGCTAGTTTATGACCTAACGCGTGAACACATGCACAGTTTCATTGGAGAATTTCGTCATCTAAATCGGGGAAATCCAACGAAAGAGCTTCCTAAAGCCCTCCCTGAATTAAATCTCTTAACTGGAGAGTAAACCTTCACAAAGACATTCACACTATTGAAGCTGCTCGCTGTATGTAGGTTATGCTAATGACATTACTCTTAATTCACATCAAATTAAACAAGGTCCTTGTTTTTTTTTTTATCCGCTTCTGCAGTGTAGAGAAATTATCTTTCTCCTCATGATGAACGCTTTGAGTTGATGGGGAATAAAAGCAAGAAAATTGGATTACGTATTACTTATCGAGATCCTGGGCCAGCTGGCTCTGGATGTCTCCTAGTTCCAGGTCTTATATGGAAAGATAAGGACTAATTGATTATAAATTCTTTAGGAAATGAATGAAATTGATAAGTAATCGAATTGAGGGTTATATTGAGGAAAAACATACAGTTATCTGAATGTCCTTTCAGAATTATGTTAAATGTTTAATTTTGTGAATCTAAACGTGAATTTTAAAAGTATGTCTGATTTTTTTTTTTTTTTTTTTTAAATTAAATAAAAATAACTTTTAAAAAGTTATTTACTGCCATAGTAAGAAGAGATTAAGGAGCTTAAAGCATTTTGAATATTTAGTCCAGTCATTTAATGTGAGCTTGAATAACCTCATCACATTTCGAACATGTCTAAACAGCATCTAACATCTTTAAATATCGGTGGCCATGCCCTAAGTCCTACCACTTTATAAGGAAACTACTTCTCAGGCGTCTGTTTTAGCTCAATTTTCTTTCTGTTTATCACAGTTGCTGCTTTCAGGGTGTCAGTACAGAAAGGAAGTAATGTGAATGTGGGTTGTATTTCCCACACCAAAGTTTACAGAATTAACACATGTAGCTGATACTGAAATAAATGCCAGTTTTGAAGATGTGTGTGGTTTGATCCATCAAACGATGATGACTCCCTCCTTTGCCTCTTCCACAGGACCTTTTGAACTTTGATGACCCGCTGAACATTGATGCAGCAGAACATCATCTGAGAGACAAGGTGAGACATGTCGTTCAGGTCATCTGGTATAAATTCGGCACACTTGTTAATTATCTGCAGCATCCAAGATGTGCTCGTAGTCCTCATAATACTAGCCTGTGGCTATCGCTCACATATGTAAACACAGACTTTGTACTTTAATTTATCACATTGCCTTTTTAAAATCTTCATTATATCTCTGTATATATGAGACGGCAAAAAAAGCTTATTTACTCTTATTTACTGATATGCACGACAACACATTCCAGTTTAGTTTAACGAAAATGTATGTAAGTGTGCACTAAATGCACACATAATGTGAACAATGTCTCCATTCATTTGAGATCAGCTACTACACATAACATATAATTTGTAGATGTGTGTTCTAAAAATAATAGTTGCATTGTTATATGTAGATGTTGATAATCCCAGTACGCTAGATTGATCTACATGTCTTGGAGGAGAAACATACACACGTTGCGATCATTACAGTGAGATTCTTACTGCTGCATATCCTGCATATAAGCTATATTTAGAAACAACATTTCTGCTGCTGTAGGTTTCAGAGGTGCTCTGTGCAAACCATTGCTTTTGTAGCTGGATTATGTGGTAACTCGGTGTGCTTTAATCTGGTATGGTGGGCTGAAGACAAAGAGCACACGGCAACCTTTTTGAGCAGACAGTGACGTTATGACTCCAGAACTGTCTGTACAGAGCAGGTGCATATGGTGTTTTTTTTGCAAGACTACTGAATACACTGCCTCTGAAGCACGCTCTGCCATTTGTAAGTCAAATAACACACCATCAAACTGGATGTCTGGGTTTATATATGCTTCACTACCCTGATGGTTTGTAAGCTAATTATGTATTCTGACTATAACTTTAATATATTTAGTCAAGCCTATATTGGTAAGTGCCAGGGATTTACTGGGCTTTTTGCATATTGGGTAAGCTTTGAGCCAACATGAGAACAGTGGAATCCCAATGGAGAATAAATAAATAAATATACACACACAAGATCCCTGAAAAAATATGTTTATCCTGGCTGATTAATCTTTAAATTATTATTCCCGCTGCGTTGCCTTACTTCCCTTCCATCTATGTTTAACTTGGCCATCAGTTACCTGCGATTTAGTGTCAAAACTGTTAAAACTGATCATTTGAGTATTTTGGTCACATAAGTTTAATTCATAGATTTCTGGCCAACATCTGCAGGGAGTCTGCTGACTGTTGAAATAATTATAAGGCTCAGTAGGGGCAAGCTGAAAGCATTTTGAAGTACGTCACTGACCTTCTGCCCTGTGTACGTACAGTTTCCCGTGTTCACTGGAGTGTATCCAACAGTGTGTGATGATGGTTGCCATGTGAGCCCCCATTAGATATGCAGGTTTGACTGTGCGTGGGGTTTTAAAAGGCTGAGGGTTTAAAAAGTGTTTGTGGCAGAAGTTGCAGCTGTTAGGCTGTTGTAGGTAAATTTGCATGCAAATAGTTCATTTATTGACTGCTGTGTTTTGTCAAGCATCCACTGGATCTTTATTAACTGACTAAATAGGTGGAAACAAACGCCTGTAAACCATGTATAGACTTAATCTGTCATGTGAGTGTGGTTTACTGGTTCATGAAAGCCTTCTTTCTTTGTCTCTTAACTTCCGGTTTTCTATGACAAATATCTAACATGATGTAGCTGATGAATTCGTTCAGTATACCCCTCTAAAAACATTATATGCTCTGCTGCCTTAATGGCTGCAGAGTTCCAGACCTCCTCTGGCATTAACAGCAGCACAAAATCTGTGCACCAGGAGCTTCATGGGATGGGCTTGCATGGCTTAGCAGCTCCTGTAGGTATAAATGTTTACTAACTATATGTCATTCTTTTCAGAATATGTGTTTGTGACCTGGGCAATAACCTTTTAAATGTTTAACTATAAGTTATTAAAAATTCATTTCTGGTTACAAAGGTAAAGGTTAGTAAGAATGATATTTTCTTGCATCCTGTATCACTCTGCACTATTCTCATATATTACTCATGTATTGTGCATTGTAATTTAATGCATTTTAATGCCGTTGGGATGAACACATTTCCACACAGTCTAGCCAGCTTGTGATAGGTAAGAAAATCTACTACTGGAAATGCACTTTTTATTATTCCCTGACCAGCTGACCACATGTGAGACTTAAACATTTAGGTGTCAGTTTAATTGCTAATTAACAGTCACACTAGTTGCAGTGTATGTGGTGCAGAATCTCTATATGAAGGTTTCTTGTAGTTAATGTAGTTGATGTACTGCTGTCTCAACAACCGCATCCTGTGGGACACAGACAGAATAGCAGAAGCGCCTACGTTTGGCTGTGGCTACTTCATTCATTGCTGTTCACTTACAGCAATGAATGAATATGATAATTACACTGACAGAAAACTCTATGAGCTCACCCCCAACTGTTCCTCACTGAGCCTGTTTCTGCTGGAGGATTTTTCCTGTTAAAAGGGAGTTTTTCCTTCCCACTGTCACCAAGTGCTTGCTGATAGGGGTTGTCCATCTGTTGGGGTTTTCTCTGTGTTCTTTAGAAACGTGACCTTACAGTATAAAGCAGTTTGAGGTGACCTGTAATTCGGTGCTTTATAATTAAACAAATAAACAAAATTTATTTAAAATTAAATTTAAAATTCTACTGCCCCAGTCTGTTATTTAGCACCTTTACCCGTTTCAGCTTTATAATGTGGCTTTAGTCAAATCAGTGTTTTTTTTCTAAACTTTGACTGATTACACACATTTATACTGAAACAGACTTTTGGTCGTTGAACTACAGATATATAATCAGATCAGTTGTGAAACTAAAAGCAGTTTGAATTGATAAGACTGACCAAAAGGCAGAATTTGTTTTTGTAGTGTATCCAGTTAGTGTTTTCAGTTATAGTTCTGAGTTAACAAAGTTACTAATTTGATACATTAATGATAAAAATCTCTCATTTCGAAATGTGTTTCAGTAAGTTTTAGTGGTGCTTTACCGCCTGTTGTGGCTTTTCAGAGTCACAACATCTGAAAAGTCATCCAACCGTGACCCACTCCCACTGAGTCAAAGCCTGCTGTAATCAACTTCAGCAGCGAGTGGATAGAGATGTGGGAGTGCGAGTGTCAGTACACAAATATGCTTGTGAATGTGGATGCGTGTGCTACTTTGTGTTGAGGCATTTGAAGTGGGGCTCCTCCTGTGGCTGCTCTCTGAATACATTAGCTGGTTAAAGTGGCTAAAAGGAAGCATCCTCATGAGCAATGCAGTATGAGTGTGTGTAAATCTGTGCGTGTGTGTGTGTGTGCGTTGTTGGTTATAATGGTATTGTGCTATTATTAGTTGTGAGTGGGTTTTTGTCTGTGTACATGTGTAGACAGCGGTACAACAAACAGTTCAGAGATAACTCTAAATAGGACAGGGAGATTGTGTTAACATGTCCACTTTTTTTTAAAAATTATATTTATATATATTGTTCAAACTTTTTTTTTTTTTTTTACATAAACTGCTGTATTTGTAGTAGGTGATCAAAGCGTGGTAGAGTAGCTGACACTGAAGAAAGGAGATCATCCTATGACAGATGTTCAGAACAAAAAAAAATTGTATTTCTCTGTATGAATCTCTCTGTGATTTATGAAGGAAGTGGATTAATAATGAGCTCTGCAATGCACACAGTCTCTGACATTTGAAGTCTTCAGCAAAGACTTGATCTATAAATACTAATTAGCTCCTTCCAGCTTAAAGAAGTGTGTGAAAGATGAGACTGACTGACTGTCATCTTTCTGAGATCTGTGTTTCAAACCAAGAACAGGGTGATTTGGGCGCTTGTTGTCAGTTACCTGTTTTTCTTGATGTGTAAACATTTTCTGTGCCCTAGTTACATAATACATGCTGACTCGAAGTAGGTTTTGCATGTGAAGAAAAAAGTAAATGTTGAATGGTGGAAAGACTTGAGGAAGGGCTATAGGGCTGGGTTGCATTCGATGATGCACCAACTATATTAGTTACTTTAAGAATATTTTGTACAGTACTGAATCTGTTAGCAAACTGAAAAGCATACAGGTCCACAAGTATCTGCACAATTACACATTTGTATTTTTTAGCTCTGTATGCCACCATGCTGGATTTTAAATAAAGCCATCACCTTGTGATGAAATGCAAATCTTCAGTTTTTAATCAAGGGTTTTAACAAGTTTTTAGGAATTACATTTTTAATTACAGAGTATCAACCAAAGATCCAGGAATCAAAATCATTACATAAAAGTTATAATTTAAACTTTTAATAAAGTATTTGATTTCCAAGCAAAACATGGCTTAGTACTTGTTGGAGAAGTCCTTGTTGGTGATCACAGCGATGAGACGTTTCTTTAAGTTTGCACCTACAAGAAAGAGAAGTTGGATTCTATCTCATTTCTTTTTACTGAAATGCTTTAATTCAATAGAAGAAATGTAAAAACATCACATTGTTTAAAAATTGTCCTACATCTTACTTGTTCAGTTTTTTTCAACAGCAGTGGTGGAAATGTTCTGGACAGTGTGAACAGTGTACATTGGCTGTTACCATTAACACGCTACCAGAGAGCACGAGCATGCTTCTATCATAAAATATCAAATGTTGTTAACATGTCAACAAGCTGAACCGTGAGCGAGCAGAAGGCTCAGAGGACTGTGTTACAGCACGTATACTTCGGTGGATATGAAATACAAACGGGAGCCTGTGTATTTGGGATACATAGTAGACTCTCTGTCCTAGTCCTAAAGCGCACAGAGCGGCACAGTGACCTTGTACCAGTCAGCCCTTGGAGGGTTCAAAGTTCATTCATACAATGCTAAATGTTCTGCACCTCCATTTATTGTTACTGACCAATTAAAGGGACTAACTCTCTCTAACTCTCCCAGATGCTCACTCCTGGGTCTCTCGAGTGGCTTTGCTTCTTCAGTCAATAGTCAGACGTGTCAAGTACAGACACACACTCTCTCACCTTTTGCTGCATCTCGATTGGGCTTCTCTT